TTTCTTTCTTTCTTTCTTTCTTTCTTTCTTCCTCTCCCTCCTTCCTCCCTCCCTCCCTCCCTCTCTCCCTCCCTTTCTTATGCAATGTTCCACTTGCACTTACGCCTGTGCACCTCAAGAGGGCACCAGATCTCATTATGGATGACTGTGAGCCACCACGTGGTTGCTGGGAATTGAACGCAGGATCTCCAGAGGAGCATCCAGCGCTCTTAACCTCTGAGCCATCTCTCCAGCCCCCTGCTGGTGCATTTTTCATTCTGAGCTTTAAGGGAGCCATATGCAGGATGTTTATTCTCTTTTGGGTCTGGCCTAATTGTTGCTAAAATGCAGCCAGTGATGTCTGTGGCTCCGGCTTATCTTCCCTGCTTTGTAGTATCCCCAGCTTTGCATTTTTAATGCTATTTTCACTTACGTTAAATAGGCTAGAAATCAGGACTATGGCGCTAGGAGACATAGCTATTTATTCTCCTGGTAACAAATCAATCCTGGACGATCTAATTCAGCCATGCTGCCTCGAATCTTTCACCAGATAGAGCTTGGTCTCAAGATTAGAGTTCTAGCCAGATTATTCATTGCTCAGCTCAAGTGAAGATACAAGCTGCTTCCTCCTTTGAAGGGAGAAAAACAACCCTGAGTTCCTCCCTGTGCTTGTTCAAATGGATTCTCTGAAAGGAAAAGCTGGCACAGTTCTCCCTAGAAGTAGCCCTCTCCAAAGCCTCATCAGGCCACATATTGTTTATCTCAGCAAACAGCATTCAGTGACTCTAAAGACCAATAATCCCTGGCTGCAGTCTGGAGCATAATTTCTGGAAGACAACCTTCCAATTTTTATCAAACAAGCAAACAGTAATTTACCTGCAGGGCCTTCCCGGTGAACATCTCTTCACCAGCCCTGTGATACTGACTCCCACCAGAGTCTCTCCCAATGCCCACAGCTGTCCTTCTCGGTCCCCTGGAAGACTAAGGATGCAAATAACAGCTGCTTAAACAATAGTTTCCAAAACAAAAAGTAGAAAGCTGCTTTAACACTGCATGACCTCTGGGGTCTTTGACCCAGAGAAGCAGATGCCTGATACTGAAGGGTGACAGGGGGTTGTGGTGGAGGAGGTGGAGGGGTGAAGGGGTGGGAGGTGTCAGATTTGCCCTCATCCCAGAGTAACTTGTCTCACTCATACTACATTTCTCTTTTCCCTGTATTTAAAGGTTGGGATATTTTGTTTTGTTTTGTTTTTTGTTTTATAGAACTGACTTTCTAAGCTTACAAATTATGACCTTTGAATTGACATAGATTAAAGCTTCCAAGCAGAAAGAGTTTATATTGTCAAAACTCCATTTTCTTCCTATAATCTCCCTACTTGTCACTTAGACTGTCTGCCTGTCAAGGCCTGTGAGACAGAACAGCATAAGCTCATCTCGCCACCATCATTTCTCACCCTTAGCCTCAGTGGGCACTGTGATCAAGGTCCTTAGATTCAGCTGGACCAAAACATCACAGATGCAGAAGTTCTGAGAAACAACTTCTGTCTTAGGGTTTCTATGGCTGTAACCACTGCAAATCTTATAAAGGAAAACATTTAATTGGAGCTGGCTTACAGCTTCAGAGGTTTAGTCCATTATCATCATGGCAGGAAGCAAGGCAGTGTGCAGGCAGACATGGTGCTGGAGAAGGAGCTGAGAGTTCTACATCTTGATCTGCAGAAGGAGAGACTGTGTACTGGGCACTGCTTGAGCATATATGAGACCTCAAAGCCTACCCCCCACAGTGACACACTTCCTCCAACAAGGCCATACCCACTTCAACAAGGCCACACCTCCTAATAGTATCACTCCCTATGGGCCAAGCATTCCTAAGTCTATGGGGGCCATATCTATTCAAATCATATTCTACTCCCTGGGCCCTATAGGCTTGTAGCCATAATATAATGCAAAATGCATTAAGTCCAACTTTAAAAGTCCCCATAATCTATCACAGTCTCAACAATGTTTAGAAGTCCAAAGTTCAAAGTCACTTTTGAGATTCATTCAATCTCTTACCTGTAATCTCCTATGAAATCAAAATCAAAAGATAGATCACATACTTCCAACATACAATGGCACAGGAAATACATTACCATTCCAAAACGTAGGAAAGGGAGCATAGTGAGGAAATACTGGACCAAAGCAAGACCAAAAACCAGCTGGGCAAACTCCAAACTCAGCATCTTCACATCTGATGTCAAAACACTCTCCACATCTCCAGCTCCGTTCAGCTTTGTTGACTGCAGCACACTTCTCTCTTGGGCTGGTTCCACTCCCTGTTAGCAGTGCTCCTTGGCAGGTATCCCATGACTCTGGCATCTCCAACATCTTAGGGTCTCAAAGGCAACCCAGGCTTCACCTTCACAGCTTCCCACAATGGCCTCCCTGGGCCTGCATTCAGGGGCACCTCTGACACGTGCCCTCAGCAGCTTTCCTTAGTCATGGAGGGAGATTCTGTAACCCCTTTCTTCTAACCTTGACTCTGAAGTCAGAACCACATGGCCAAAGCTGCCAAGTTCTGCTGTTTGCTGGGACTAGAACATGGCCTCCTCCTTTATTACATCTTCACCAGCTTTCTGTTTTAGATGGTTACCTTCACTGCCTAAGCCTGGCTGTCCTGGAACTCACTCTGTAAACCAGGCTGGCCGAGAACTTAGAGATTCACTTGCCTTTGTCTCCAGAGTGCTGGGATTAAAGGCACGCACCACCATGGCTGGACCTAAGCTGTTCTTTAATCCTTTTCACGAGTTGGAAGCTTAGCTGGGTGAGGTCTCTTTCCCTCTTTCCATCTCCCTTTATTCCATTTCTTAATCTGTTTATCGCCTTGAACACAGGACTTAGCCCCATTCCACTTCCTGGTGCCCTTTTCTCCTCAATCTGCACATGGTATATTTTTTAATTGCTCGGCTTGATCCTTTTCATTATAAATCTTCCTAAGAGTGAACACTACAGGCTTGGGCTGGCGGGATAGACAACCATGGGCCCACCGGATGCCATTCGGCTCAGCCAGGTGCTAGCCACCCACAGATGGGTGCCATTATTGTGAGCAAATGTGTGGTGGAGAAATGGGAGAGAAAAGGAAGCAGAATGGTTCGTGTGCTGTAGAAAGAGGAGGAACTGAAGAAGTGAAGGTGGTGAGGAACAGGCTGATGTGGGAGGCCTGCTTGCCACCTGGGACCATGGTGACTTCCAGGCCTGGCTGCTGCCAAAGGCCATGTCTGGGTCCATGGTCC